ACCAACAGGACTAAGAGAATGAACGAATGATTTCTAGCTTGAACAGGGGAGGACACTAGCAGTATCTACAAAGTAAAAAGTAGGTACACTTTGGGGTACAAAGTTTTACACATTATGATTTTGAAATGACTATTAGACACATACCAGTCACTCAATAGACCCCAGACCCTGGCCGGACTGCACCTTTTTAAATCTCAGTCCTCTAAAATTTCAAAGCTTATTAATTCTCAACTGTTAAACAGGGAAGTCTCTCAAAGGACTGCTGAAGATTACAGTGATATAATTTAGGCACAAAACTATTAGTACAGTTTAGTTAGTAGTACTAGCAGTAGAATATGGAACTTAAAATGGCAAAGAATTTTTACAAGAAGACATTAGCCTTCCCTTACTATATGTACTTTCACTATAGGGAGAGAAATGTGCTTTATAAAACTATTGAGATTAAGAAATAAAGTTGTGGAGGATCAACCATTCTACCTACAGAATCTACAGAAAAATAACTTTTGCAATTTTTGTCTTTATCTTTTCATATCTCCCACTCTCAGCCCATACCTACCTTAATAAGTTATACGTACAGAAGATTTAACAAATACTTGAACATGAGAAAACTGAGCCAACAGGAAGGATGAAATGAAGGAAAAGAAAATCTTAGCTCTAAAAGTAATCTTAAGAGAAAATAGTAGCAGGAGCATAAAATTACTTTTGGAAAGGACAGAGATGCTTTACTGTTTGACTCAGGGAAAAAGAAGGTAAATATGGGGAAAACATCAAGAATTAGACAGCCTATACCTTCTTAATAAGGAAATAAAAGACACCTGCACAGAATAGAAGAAATTCATATTGGACAGCCTACACCTTCTTAATAAGGAAATAAAGGACACTTGCACAGAATAGAGGGATTACAATGTCAGAGAAAGCAAATTAATTGATTCCTCATTTTAATATATGTCTTCACTTCCATAACCAAAACCCTGGTCCAGTCCTTCTAGGCTACTAGCTTTCCCTCTACCTACTGACTTTCCCTTTCCAAAAGTGTTGTTCATGCCCTAGAAAGCCCACATTTCCTCCACTTTATCTACCGTTACTTTTTTTTGTTTTGACAATACTAGGGTTTGAGCTCAGGGCTTCAAGCTTGCGAGGGAGGGGCTCTACAGCTTGACCCACTCCATCAGCCCCTTCACTACTATTCTTATGAGACATCTCTGATCATCTACTCACCCGACAGTTAATCACTCTTTCCTCTCGCTAATACTGGGCTACTTCTGTTCCTTGCACAATTTGATTAATTTATTGTTCCATACCACAATCATTTATGTCAGCTCGAATGAACTCTTTATAAAAACAGGTAACATCGTCCTCATTTTTATTCCTCCAGCACTTAATTCAGTCTCTGGTATACAACAGGCATTCAGCCAATGTTTGTACTGTCTAACTGAAGTGAGCAATTAAACAAATGAGTAACCTCCCAACTAGGGGCAACCAGAAACAAAAAGTAAAGTGTTCAAATTCACACCATTTCAGATAACCTTCCTATTCTAGGTATTACAAGATGGTTAACACTTTATTTTTACCAATGGAAAAGTAAAAGGGTTAAATAATCAAAAATTGTATCATTCAATAGCACCTTTAGTAAATTATATTCTAATAATTATGTTTGAATACAGATGTGTCCATGTTCTGGGAATTCACTTTGAACACTACACTAAGAGGGGCTTACCCCGGAGGAACACCATGTCTTTTCAAGTCGTTAGGTTTAGTACCAGGAAGAGATGAACTACTGGTCTGATTTAAACGGGGAAAAAAGTCTATCCTTGCTGTGGATGAGCCTAAAGGAAGCATTTGGGTTTCAAAATTTTGTCATGAAATACAGAGAGTATTTAGTGACATTAATAGCATATTGGGGAATTTCACAAATGAAGTAGAGTAGGTTTCAGAACAAAACTGAAAGCAACAATTACTAATATGTGGACTGTAACATCTACTACTACAGTAAGTTCCTAAACTCGTGTCTAATTGAGGCACTCCCCATACGAACCACAGAAATAACAACCATACCATAACACAGAAAGCTCTCCAGGGCCTCAAGAAATCTGCAAGGCCAGTAAGAAATTTTCTGGCATCAAGGAGAAAAATTCTAGGGTTCTATAAAATAAAGTATCACACACTTTATCCTAAACACACACAACACATAATGCTTCAATTAGACTTAATTTGTTGGTAATCTTTTCATTTATATGTTTACTTATTTATTTTTTTGAAACAGGGTCTCCCTATGTAGCCCAGGCTGGCCTGCCTCAACCTCATGAGTGCTGAGATTGCAGGTGTACACTACCATGCGTGATTAGTAATCTCCTTTATTTTTTAACAGTTGTTATATTCAACAATTCTACTTCAAAAAGACCCAATTTATATGATAGTATGTCTTGAAACCAGCCTAAATTCTATGATCCCTTGTTAACAAATTAGTAACATTCGAAGCAATCCTTTTATTTTAATGTGATTTAATAACTCATAATTTCACAATGTAAAAAAGGCAACTCACATTAAATATCATGCACAAAGCACAGAGTTCTACACCGAGTACTTTAAGAACTGCCTCATTTAACTCATACTCTTACTAATTCTGAAGTTGACACTTGTTGAGATGGTGAGAGGTTAGGCAAAGTGAAGTAACTTGCCCCAAATCACCCAACTATTAAAGTATCACACCTGAGATTACATTTGATTTTTAATCCTCTTTTCCACTACACATTCATGACTCCTTTAGAGATTACATGGCCACAATCTATATAGAGAATGAAGTTTGTTGGATATCTACACAATGAATTTCTCCAAAATTACAGAAAAGGGATTAGAATGAGATTAAACACTGTTTTAGCATTAAATTAATTTGGGGGGTTGCCCAAACTTTATCTTTTACATATTGTAACCCAATCCACAAACAGCTGCAGCCCAGACTGCTTCAAAGTTCTCAAATTATTACTAACATTTAATTCTTCAGGAACTTTCTTCATTTTTGATCCACAAGCCTTCTTTGAACAATGAAATGTTTGTCACAATACGGTTTCTCTAAACAATAGTGTCACTATATAATGATTCTAACTCAGATTACTTTTTTATTCTAAACTTCCTTATGACTTAGGAATACAGTTCTCATATAACCTCTCACTCTTAGTTGAATATTGCTTTTGCAATCGATTTCAATTGGTTGTGTATATTTTATTCCAAACTGAAGTACATTCTGTTAGGACATTTTCTGCACATTTCTATGTAATCCTACAAATAGGTGTTTACATTCTGAGGGTATGTAGCATTTTAAAGAGTAAAAAGTTATCTGTGATCCTGAATAAGACTGGAATAAATAAAGGTTTCAAATCAAACTTGTACATTAAGCTCTCCTACAACTTAAAATTTTATAACAATCTGAGAATCTACTATACCAGTAACTTAACAAACTGAACTTAAAGCACAACTATAATTTATTTCCAGTACCACATCCAAACAGGTTTTTAATGTAGAAACTAGGCTCAAGTTTACCTAATTGTTCTTTTCGCCTCCATCTGAAACACATATGCTTATATAGAAGTTAAATCACTAAAAAACTATATCTGATAGAAATTTGAAATTCTAAAGTTCAGGTCTGTAGGAATTACTCTGTTAGGAGGTTTGCTAAAAAGTGTATTTGAAGGTTTTCACATATGTACTATATATGGTAAGGTTTCCAAACTGTTGCACAAAGTCAAAAGCTTTATATCTCTCCATACTGATTCACAAAACCCATCTTCTGAAAAAAAAAAAAAAAGTTCCAAATTAGTGCACTGGTGATCTAATTAGGTGCCACTTATAAACGGCTATATTGTATTTTAGAAACTCTTCCTTTAAAAGGACTTGATTCACCCAAAAGTAAGCCCCTGAACTAAAACGTCAGGTTACAAAAACTGTAGGCTTGTAAGCTACATGAAAACTGGCCTTTCAGTTACAGACCCGTGAACTTGCAATATACAAAGTAAAACAATTTGACAATGCCAAATCTCTTCAAAACAGAGACAAGCCTCCACAATGAGCCCAATCCAACAGACATTGTAGACTAGTCATTCTAAATTGGTTTAATTCTACATGTTGTAAACATATAGAATATTTACAAGAGCTCATGTGTTTTGTTTTGTTTTTCAAAAACTTCCTAAGGTGCCTCACGGATTTGAAAAAGAAACTGACTCTGGACAGCTGAACTAACATGAGCGTCAGCGTCAGCAGACCCAATCCTGTTTACAATGGAAAAGAAGAGACTCTTGCCTGTAACTACTAATTCTTCTTGGCGATAGTCAATAAACTCCACTGCGGCGAACTCTGAGAAGAAATAGCGATCAAGCCAGATTCGGTTCGTAAAAATAGAAGCGAGTTTACTCGGCTGGGAAGCTGTAAACAAACCCATCCCCACTGCAGAAGGCAAACAATGAACCTGCCGCAGCGCGAGGGGGCGGTCCAGGAAAGGGAGGCAGGGGCAAAACACCGCAGAACCCAGACCCTCCGCGGGACCTTGGCTCGAGGTCCCCCCGCCGAGCTACCGGCCGCAGAGACCGAGGGCAAGGAGGGGGAAAAAAAAAAAAAAAAGCCGTCACGCAGTCAGCAACAACCCAGTTGGTCCAGCCTCGGCGCGGGGGCAGGACAGGGCAGGATGTGGTGCCCTTCCCGCAAACATCCTCCAGCAACCTACATAACAACCTTCACCTCCCTCGGTCCGCCCCCGGGATTCGGGTGCCCGAGCTCCGGGAGAGGCGTGGAACGTTCCCCGAGGGTCCACACCACCCGAAGAATCGAGTTCCGCTCGGGGCTCCGCGGCTGGGCTCCCGCAGCCGCCCGAGGCCGGGAAGTGGGCTCGGGGAAGGGGGATGGGTCTGGCAGGGCGGCCGGCCCGAGCGCCGCCCCCCGCCCCTGCCCGGGGTTCCCCGGGTCCTCCCCAGCCGCGCGCCCCGGCCGGCGCTCGCGGCTCCTCGCGTTACCTCGGGTCAGATCCAGCGGGACGTTCTCCTCGCCGCTGTCATTCCGCCCTGCGCGAAACAGACACACAACCCCAATTAGGATTCGCTCGCAGGCCAGCGGCAGCTGCCCCGGCTCCGGCCAGCGCTCCGGCTCGCTTCCCCCACCCAGGGTTAGGGGAAGGCAAGCGCCGGGGTTGCGGGCGCCGGGCAGCAAGGAGCGAGGTCTGCGGCGGGCTTACCTCGTATTCGGAGGTTCTTGAGAGAGCGGCCGCGGCCGATCGCCGCCATATTGACGGGTTTCAGTCACAACACCGGAAACCTCGCCCAATCGCGCGAGAACCCCTTCCCCTCCCTGCGCGCCGCGCCCGCCCCCCGCGGCATCGCCCCCGCCCCCTCGGCGCGGCGGGCGGCGGGCGGTACGGGCTCGGCCAGGGGTGCGGACGGAGGGCCGTGTCTGTCCGCTGTCCGCTGTCCGCTGTCCGCTGTCCGCTGTCCGGGCACGCCGCCTGGCGCGCGTGGGCGCGGCGTGTCCCACGAGGGCAAGCCCATCGATGTGAGCGCGCGCGGGGAATCCTTCCTTCCCCTCGGCGGCCGCGGAGCCCAACGCAGCCGGGGCGGAGGAGGCCGGGGTGCAGCCTGCGGCCACCTGCTCTGCGAGCCACCGTCCTGTCTCGCTCACCGGGTTTCTTTGAAGCCTTGGGACAGCCGGCCCCGGCTGCCTTGTCCATCGTCCGAGACTTTCTATATGTTTGGCGGGGAGGGGCGGCGGGGGGGGGGAACAAAGCTTTGCACAGTTTTAAGTCTCGCGTAAATCGCTGTCCAGAATCGCTTTGCTCCAGCCGAGCGAACGCGTAACGAGTTTTGTTTTCCACCCGCGCTCTGGCCGTCGCGTGAAGCAGCTCTGCACTTGATCTCCGAAGCTGCACTCAGCTGGGAGGCTTCTCCAGGGGACGTGGCTTGGCTGGGTGGAGGTTTTGGTTTCGGCCGTCCGGCCTGAGACGAGAAAAGGGGGTGACGCGGGGAGCGCAGGCGGCGGACCCCGGCCTGGGGCTGCTCCCGGGCGCCGGCGCCAGGAGGCCGCGGACGGGAGAGAAACGGTTTCCAACGCCTGGACGCCTGGAGAGCTTGCTGGGGCTGGGTCCTACCACACTGCCTGAGGCGGATGTTGTGGAAAAATTTCCGTACATCAACCGAACAGTTACTAACTAGGGATTGCAATTCTAAAGTCTGTCTATTGTGTGTACATCTGGCCCCTAATCCAACAATTTTTTCATAAACTCGATTTAGTATTCCTCAATTCTTTCTATCTACAACCTGACTAAAAAGTTGAAAGCAATCTTGCCTTAGCCACTTCTCTTTTTCTTTTTTTTTTAATGTCCTGAAGTTAGTATGTCACTTGTAAAATAAACGTTTTAAAAATAGAAATAAAAGGAGTATCATCAGGAAAATAAAATAGGAAGGCTGCTTGCCCGGGGTGCCACCCACTAACTATATATTCCAAGTCCTTTTCTTATCAGCTTTGCATTCAAATATCTGCTGCTGCTATTTTGCACTTAAGATTTAAGGATATAACAATTAGAGCACCTTAAAGAAATGACATTTATCTGAAGTAACTTTAAGAGCAACAAACCTGCTCCCTTTTGTATAACTTTCAAGTCTTGGTTCAAGTTGTTTATCCTAGTTCCTGTCTAAACAAAACTTGAGGTCGGACCAGGACCTTAAAATTTTTCCATTTCAACCCTCCATGCACCAAAACATTTCACCATTATGGAAAATTATCAATGGAAAGTCTACTGGATTCTTACTTACTTTGAACCAGTTTGGGTTTTTTTTATCCTATTTTTATCCCAATCAATTCTAAATTGCTTCCTAATACAATTTAAGTTAATTTTCTCATTCAGTCTTTTGTGTAATTTAAGTACAACTTACCATTTATATTTTTTTTCAGGTAGTTAAGAGCTTGCATTCAATAGCCTTTTATTTTCATAACTGTATGTTCTTACTTAAAGGCCATTATCCAATTACTCCATCTCTTCCAGGAGAAAAAAAATAAAATCATCTTTCTTCAACCTTACAATGAAGCTAGTTTTCCTTCTGTTACTATTTCAGCCATTTGAGTGGTTAGCTTCACATTTGCTCTTAAAGTGAACAGCAAGCATTTCTTGTAAAAAAAGAACATGCTTTCCACGTTTGCAAAGGACATTCAACTAGAAAGCAGGAATTTTGGTAAATTACAGACCAGAATACATTTCACAATGTTGCATTTGCTTTTTAAATAATACCACTACTTTATTGATCCCAATGTTGGATTAGTTTCAGCTTGTTACTTGATAAAATCCCCAAGGTATTTTCTGTCATACTTGTTAACTAGTCTTATTCCTCCTTTTGACACTTGGTTCCTTACCCTTCCCCCCCAGTGCTTATTTTAGCCCACCCAAGTGACTTACTCATTTTGTTTACTTCTTACTAGTTCTCCAATTTTACTTTGTTTCTAATCTGGTCATTGAGAATGTGACTTCCTCTTCTTAGTTTTCATTTCCCAACTTGGTTTAGTTTGCTGTGTCAATGAATGCTTTTTTCCGATAGTATTAGTCATTGATAAAAAAGGTTACATGTAGTCCAAGACCAAACCTCTAAATGATAAGTGGTTATGAAGATACAATGACTCCATTGATAGGCATTGTGTTCAGTTCTCTACCCTGTTGCATGCAGTTAACGATTGTTCTTTAGAAACTGTATTTTATCAGTTTGGTACAGAGTTGTTATGTTGAACAGAAACAAAAGCCATCTTGCCAAAATCTTAGTTCCCTTTAATCTATCTGCTTTGTTACGGAAGCTATATGATGATAAAACAAGTTGAAAAACCACAAAATTTGGTGAGACTATTTCTTGGTAACTTCTCTTTATAGTTAAACCACACGTTGAATATCTAGATAAAGGCTGTTAACATGACAAGTAATGGACTAGATGAAGCAAATGTACACTAGGTTGATTAGTAAGGCCCTTCCTTGATCACAGCAGAAGTCAGATTTAAACAGAACTTAAGGATTCCTTTCAATTTTACCCTTCCCCTGAATTTAAATTTCACTTTTAAACAATTCTGTAAGATATAAAGGCCCTCTACAAAAACAGTTTTAAATGAAGAATACCTATGCTTGTGAAAGAGGAACATATATATATATTCATAAAAATAAAACACTAAAATTTCAATAGTGATTATGCCTGGAATTTGATTGGGTTTTTTTCTTTCTTATTCTCATTTTACTTGTGCTCAAATTTTTACTAGTATTTTTTTAAGGAAAACCATTTCAGAGAATTTTTTTTGTAGTGAAAGTGATAGCAAGTTTATTAGGAAAGGAATATACTTTCAGTAGACTGAAAGCGGTTCATCTCTAGAGAAATAAAACCAGAATGATCTATTCTTAGAGAAATTTTGTTGATTATCTAAACTAAAATTATAGACATTTCATAATAGTAAAACTTGTTAATCAGTGGACCTATCAAAGTTGTTTATGCATTTTCTCTGCTAAAAAAGAACATTTATAAATGAACCTCAAGATATGTGTGTATTAAAATAAAGCATAACAATGAATAAGAAATGTAGAAAGTTATTACTTTACTAGTGACACAACTAAAAGCAATGGAGCTGAATATACTTGATTTTTTAATATTTCTTGTTGAACTGTGATACAGCAATTCAAAAGTCTAGTTCTAAAAATAGTTATTTGATTATTAGGATTCAACAACTTAAACATCACAAAACTCAAAGCTAAATATGGACACCTGTTTTGTTGGCTATAGTTTCTAAACTCTGACACTCAGTTTCCAGTTTCACCCATCAGTTTATAAAGGTTTTTACCTAATTTTGCTAATGTCTATCTTCCCTAATGTCAACCAGTTTTCCCAACAAGCTAAAGGACTTAAAGAAAATTTCAGCAAGTGGTTACAAAATGGTTTCAAAACCATTAATCTGAAAGACAGTTAAGCAGATTAGAAAATGCTATTTCTATGATTTTTAAGAGTGCAAATATGAAAATTTATGTATGTGACATTTTTGTTTTAATTGTTTTCAGAAAAAAGCCTAAAACATTTCCTACTGTTTTCTAAATGTCTTTAACACAAGTTTCTTCTGTAAGTAATAATGTTCTAAGCTATTGTTATATTTACTTTGATGGGAAAGATTAGGCTTACGTTTTAAAAAAAAATCTGATCCACTACTCATGGTAAAAATCAAATACTGCATGGTACAAAAGATTTTTGTAGTCACTCCCTTCTCATCTGAAAGTATGTGAAAATTCAACTTTATTTTAAAGTCTTGTTTACACAAAATTATCACATGTTCAACTATCTTATGCTTTTTTTGAATCCTTTTTAAAATTTCATTTATAGGAACTGCTTCATCAATTTCCATAAAACATTGCTTTGTTTGCTGATGAGAATATGTGTACTTTTTAACTTTGGTGTCACAAGGAAAAAAGTATTTGTGAATTTCAGTACTGAACAGAGTTTAGCTAAAACCAGTTTAGAAACATTTATGATTCCACCAAACTGCACAGCAAAACTTCCATAATTTCTGTGTGCTCTAATACTTTTTTATTCAAATCTTCACCTTTCTTTTTAACCTTTTTCTGCCTTGGTTTACTAATGCAACTGCATTTTATTTATTTTTTTAATCATAAACAGATTATATTTACATTTTCACTCCTATCCCAAGGATGTAGTAATCTGTTATATCTTTACATATTCATTTCTGCTCTATTATTACAACTAATGACAGCAAAATACAATATGGAACATACAGATCATCATGCAAACACAGAAAGTGATTGAGTACCAATGGCAACAAAAGGCTTCTGGGAAAAAGCAACATTTAAGTGAATCATAAAGATAGTTTTAAACCAAAGAGTAAGGATGAGTAATTGATACAAGAAAATCTAATACAATAACAATGCAAATTATCTGAAGAACATAATTAATACCCATGAACTAACGGATAAGGAAAACCATCCAACAACTGCAAAATACACATTCATTTCAACTGATTTAAATGTCAAGGGGGTCTCAAAGTTTGTGTTGAGTATGTTATTTTATCACAATGCAATTAAGTAGGACATCCTTAACTAAATGTGTTTGATAAATTTCGCTATAATCCGTGATCCAAGCAATTCTTGTTGAACTAGGAAGAGAAGGAAATATTATTCAGATAAGGCATATCTAGACAAAATCAACAAATATAATGTAACATATTAAAGCTTTCTGAGAATAAAA